GACCGTTCATTTTTACATTAACGGATTTTTATGAAAGCAATTTCATAGTGGATAGTTAATATCGCATTACGGGCGTTATAGACCTTAAGTGGAGCTATACTTTACTAAGGGATATATAATATCTACCCTTCTGGCTAAATGGAGATAAGTTCGATGATCTCTATAGTAGCGGAGCGAAAGAAGAAAAGTTTGAAAGAGCTTATGAAGAATTCCTTGAAATCTTTGAAGAAGAGAGGGAATCTTATCCACTCAACTCTCGCGACTATACTCAAGTAATAAAAGTATCTCTATCGATAAAAAGGCACTAGTACCTCGCTGCAGTAAAAATCCCACGGATCGCGTATAATCTTTTTGCCGACTGTATATAACCGCGATTTGCCCCTGCCCATTCCGAAGGAGAGGGCGTAATCACATTTCAAGACGTTATAGTCAAATACTGGAGTGCCGATAGTTGGAAATTCACGGAGTAGAAAAGGTGTAACTGGAACAACTATCTCTGTCAGTTACGATCCGTCAGCAGTCTAGCAGCGATCAGACTAGGTTAAATCCCACTTCACGGTTTCTTAGATTCTTCTTCTTTAGCGCGCCGGGCTGCATTCATTTTCCTCCTATTCTTGCTTTCCTCGGATAATCTGAGTATATTTGCAGTGTCAATCTTGGTTCCAGTACTGGTGATAGTTTATGTGGTGGCAGTCGTAGCTAATGTACTCTAGCCGGAATAAGTTGACGATGTGACGGACTGGCGATTGTCTACTATTGTTGACAATTAACTAAGATGATGTTTGTAGAATGGTTATTATCGAAAGTAAAAGGGTTGAGTGTTCATGTACCCTTTTTATAAGCTTGTATAGTCTTTCAGAATTGTACTTTACATTTCAAGTGCCTATTTGGTGGGTTCTCTGGTGATCAGGAGCAACTAGTTTTGCGCTTGGGTACGAAAGGCTATATCTTCACCAATGTTGTACTTTAGAGAATCATACGTTTATCTCAAAATTATTCGGTTTTGTCTCACTAAGCATATGAACCGGGGATTGCTGAATCTGTATCCAGCCATTTACGACTGTTAAGGGACTAGGTAGTGAGATGACAGAGGACGATGCGCAAGCGGGAATGAGACTAGGTGTAGCTTAGGAAATTGACCGGACCTCGCCGAGTTCTACTAATACGCTAAGTCTACTCTGTACTAGTCTCCGTAATCTGCCTCTCCCTACCCTGATCTATTACGAAAGCGGCGGTGCACTCTAACCCTTTTAATAGGTAGAGTTATCTTAGCCTCCCCTCTTTTCCCAGTTTCCCTCTTTTCCCAGCTTTCCCTCTTTTCCCAGCTTTCCCTCTTTTCCTAGCTTTCCCTCTTTTCCCAGCTTTCCCTCTTTTCCTAGCTTTCCCTCTTTTCTTAGCTTTCCCTCTTTTCTCAGCTTTCCCTCTTTTCTCAGCTTTCCCTCTTTTCTCAGCTTTCCCTCTTTTCTCAGCTTTCCCTCTTTTCCTAGCTTTCTCTCTTTTCTTAGCTTTCCCTCCTTTCCCAGCTTCCTCCTTTCCTACCTTAACTTTCCTACATATTATGACATAAAGACAAAAATCCCACTTTGAACAAATTCAACGGGAACTGAATCAATGGCGGACGATCCCGTTGCCTTATTACGATGTTCTCGAAGAAGCACTAGCTATAGCTTGCCAGAATTTTAGCCACCACCCATAACGGCGATTAGACAGAGGGCGGCTAGGAAAGCGAGAACTCAGATCTCGTCATAAGCGGAAAAGTGCCAACTCGGTTTATCTGAAAATTCTCGAATATAATTCTCATATTTTCATTCCATTCGTCTTAGCTATTACTCCAAATGCATGCGAGATATTCGACGTTTCGACATTCTACCAGGAATCTCTGAAAGGATCAACACTTGATCTTAGCACTGCCGCCAGGGAGCATCTCGAATGCGTTGGTAAAAAACTCAGTATTGACGAGCACCCTCACTTCAAGAGACTAATATTAGGTCTATTCTCCAAAGGTTCAACCTATTCCCTTATTAATAACCAAAGGCTGATCGAAGAAGCGCCTTCTAGCGAGTCGAAACTAGCTATTGTCGTAGAAAGCGACGCATATTAGGTATACAATGCGGTGCACCCGAAGTCGATCGAGGTTACCTTTGGCAGCCGTATAGGTAAAGTTAACGAAAGCTCTACGCCGCGCGGACATAAAAAGATAGAAAATTAAGTACTTATGACATAGACTATACGGGTAAGGTTGCCTCGAACGAATTTCCAGGATAGGATTATAGAGATAGATATTGGGTTCGCTGATAGCTTTACGAGGACTTTATTCCCTCATTCATAAGATTTGACGGGCCTAAGCCTTGATCCTCGAAATTTAGAGGGCGATATAGTGCTAGATATAGTACCGGACGTACTAGCACCAGCTTCTGACACCGGTAAGTAGGTAAAACGCAAACTTTTGAGTACTATAAATACTAATTGACCAAATCTTTCCAGTAATAAATCACTAAGATTTTATTACATTCGAAGGCGTAGCTATCTGGGCTATCCTCTCGATTTTCTCCTTCCGGATTTTCAAGGCAATCGAGTTAAGCTAGTTGCGGTTATGAGAGAAAAAGCATGGACTCTTCGAGATAACCGATTGTGTTACAATAAAAGTATTTCGTAAGCGACCTCAGTATAGTACTATTCGTTTGCGTACAGGATTCATCGAGAGTATTAGTATATTAAATAGTCTTTTCGCCTACGACGGTGCCGTCCACTGAAGTGTATAACTCCTCGACATTAGAATAACCCCATATAATATACACCCCTACTCTAGCGGGAAGAAGTATTTCCCCTTCTCCTTTTGTAGGCCAAATTGACGCCCCTACTTTATTTTGAAAGTCGATGTTTTCGCATTCGTAGAAATATATCATTCTCGGATGATTCGTCGCCAAAATATAGTGAGCTATATCTTTCCTCTTACTCTTGAATCTGTCTTTCGATTTGAGCTTCTTAAAGCGGCGCTCCTATAACACGTTAGACTAAGTATTAACGTGTGAAGATGTTATCACGAGCTAATTCTTCTATCTTTATTATTACTTCCTCTCCTATCATATCACAATCGGAATGGGTCGCGAGGGGCTCTTCAGTATAGGTGGTATCTTAATCTACACTTTCTTAGTGTTTCATAGCCGGACAAAATCCTTTCATATAAGTCAGTATGGCTTTGGAGTCGTGAGAATATAGGATTATACTAGAGCGATTTACTTGTTGTTTGAGCTTTGAAGAGAGACAATTTATATTTTTGGATTGCAGGAAAGACAAATTTGGCTGGGGTGTTATACGCCAATAAACAAATGTTACTGCCCAACTGTCGTTTCCCATCTCCCCTCCCCTCTTTCCCCTCTTTTCCCTCTTTTCCCTCTTTTCCCTCTTTTCCCTCTTTTCCCTCGTTTCCCAGCTTTCTTCTTAAGTTGTACTCCTCTCATTGCCTATGGTGAGTACTTTCGTGCACCCTATAGCTTATGCTTGAGGAGGAGGGCTATGTGAGGACGCACAGTCCTTTGAGATGAAGACATTCGATACTATACACACTTGGTGAACGTATCATACAAAGCTATCCTACTCCAGGATGAAGTACGTTCTAGTGTGGTACTCGGAAGGACAAGAGCCCCATTCGTGATAAGTTGATACCACTGACACTATGATCGGTTCGTATCGTTGGCTAGGGAGCGGCCAGGAACGCGACATGGGAGGTTTCGAGAGAGACACTTGCCCGGTATCGTTACTATCAGCAAAGCACGCAGTTAGACGAAGGATTGTAAGTCTCATCATTGCTTTGTGCCTGCCAATCTTGACTTAACGGGGGCTAGGGCCGAGCGGTGCATTTCAAGGATGAGGGTCGCTAGGACGTACACGAAGCTATTCAAGTCAAGCCATTTCAGCCGACGTGGGTGGCGGCTCATACCCTCTTGCCCTGAGTTGACCACTACCATAGTTAGACATTGTATCCATTGATGCATCAATTCGTATAGTTGGCCAGAGTACGGCCAGCAACGCACAGTACCTCCTATCGGAGAGAGTGGATTTCGAGGATATACTATCTCCACTGAGAAGTATATAAATAGTGCTATTCCACCTGTTCATTCTCACCCCGTCTCCCTCGAAGTCTATAAATCGGCGCAATTCTCTGCAAATTCCATCCAGTTAAAAATGTCGAGCAACTCAGCAGATCATAAGAGCTCACCTAAGCCAGTAGTTGCGGAGTAAACTTCAGTAAATAACAATAGAGGTCCCCAAAACACTGACAATACTGGCGCAGCCAGTAGTCCCGAACCACATTCAAGTTATGACAGTACTGCGTAAAATCCACAGCCGAGTCGGAGAGGCATGGACTTTATGAATCCCATAGATTCGGCTATGAAAGTGCTGGGGAAAATGCCTCAAGAGAACGGAAAATAGTTGTCAAGATTGTGGAGTCAGTATATTATAGATGATTTTAAGATAAACTTACTAAAACTTGAATACTAGATCTCCCTCGTCAGTCAACTTTGTGGTTCAAGGGGACGAGAAAAGCCTAGGAGGATAGTTTCGTTAATTTCGTGGTAGTATTTCATAGATATATAAATATTGCCGATTGATTTGAAGTCCCCTACCTTGTTGGTAGAAGAGCTCGGTCTATAAGGATACTTTTGGACTATGCGCACGTGATGATGAAAAGTTACGTGAATAACTAGGCCTAATATGGCATAGTTAAACCGGGCGATGTCGTCAAGTAGTCGCTGAACCCGCCAGATTCTTATGATAACTCCCTTTTACCTGCAATATCCGATCCCTTAGCTATATCGACCATCTAATTCTTGACGAATGAACTAGGTTGAACATGGAAACTAAATAAGAATTTCGGGCGTCACTGAATATCTATGATGAATTTCAAGTTTAGTAGTAAGATATTAGGCTCTCACTATTAAAAGGGAGATTCATTCCTAGATTTCAGACCTACGTTTATAGCTTCTCCTTTGATAATAATGCACCTCTATACCCCTCCGGCAGAGCTTCGGCGCGCCGCTCAGAACGTCCGTATTCGTCAGGAGGATCTGATTCCGGTCGAAGAAAAGAAAGACTGCTGGTACCTTCCATTTCAAACCAGACCCGAACTATGTACGCTAGAACTCATGACATTTCTTAATTTATTCCTCGGAATAAAGGTACGTTAGGACATAAGCCTTGGAAGTGAAAGAGATTCATGAAATACAAAGTATAATAACATTTGCGAACGAGCGAATGCCAAAGGCCTAGATGTGCAGCTTGATGGTCTGGACTTTCTTCTAAACCGAGGCACCTGGAATCCTCTTAATAAGGAGTTCATCGCGGCCCTCACCTTACTATACCCGCAAGAGTTACAAGCCCTCGCTCTCAGCACCACTCAAGGAACGCCTCGGTCAGATGGACTATCGAATGACAAAGGAATTGGCCCACACCCGCCAGTGATAGGTGACACCACCTAAGATCCTTCTAGCTAGAAGGGTGCGACCGAGGTGCCTACTACCGTGAACGAACAACGTAAGGAAATAAAAAAGGCCAATAAGGATGTTGCTCTCTCTAGGCAGACGGTTATGGTCGGAACAGTGGTTAACGGCGATCCCTCTCTCATACCCTACAGCTTGGGAATAGGCGATACCCTCGAGCTCGAGGGAACAGAGTACGAGTGCGTCTCTACCCTCGGATTGGGTACCTTTTAAGCCGTGAAACGATACCGTAGGAAATCGTCGGGGACTGCCGAGAGTCGAGGGAGAGCGAGGGAAGGTTGATCATAGGCGATAGTCCTTTGGCCGAAAGTCTGGTTTTCGCGGTATATAGGAAACTAACTAGGTGCAAAATTGTTCATGAAGCCCATATCTCCTGGGTCTTGTTCAACCCCTTGGAAGTACATTGCATAAGACGACTAGGGATTTATAAAGTCCATGCTAGGCGGATCCGCTGGAAGAGTAAAATTCTGTTCTTCTTCTTGTAGAATGGAAGTGCTATAAGACGGCGAACTTTGATTACTGCCGTTCACCACCGTCCTAGCTATCTCCGAAAATGCCGATAGCTGTTGAGAGTTATTCAGCAGTGGCAGAGGAGTAATCGCGGTTACGGATCCCCTGTCTACTGCGACCATCGTTGAATTTTGGATCTGGTTCGGATCGCGTGGCTGAAACGTCAAGGTCATCTCTAAATCATAAATAGAGTGAGCCGTTACGCGTGGATAAGAGACAGACTCAAAGTGGGATTGAGTTTTGGAATGCGCGGAAAGTTCCAATAGCTATTAAGAATAGTTCAAGATGTCGCCGGTGAATTTAGATCTAATGTTTAGATCGTCAGTTATGCCGTTGTAAACTTTGTGTGTAAGATAACCCTTGGGGGACGGCCTTCGCGAGGCTGTTACCTCGGTAGGTTGATCTAAGTGAGGCCGTTTACGTATCTGCGACACACCGGACCCGATATTATCCGATAGGTAGGCTAGATCGTGTTCTGATCGAAGCAGGAGCTGATCTGACGTGTCACCCGGGAAGCAGGGCTGTTACAATGACTGTTACAATACGCTTCCCGGCCGACAACACCCCATGGGGTGAACGGCCCCCAATACCAATGCGGACCCCAATGCCAAGACGGACCCCAATGCCAAGTCTACCCCCAACAGGTGACCCCAATGCCAAGACGGACCCCAATGCCAAGTCTACCCCCAACAGGTATACACAGAAAGAGATAAATAGGACCTCTATTCTCGTACTGCTGGAGAGACCCTCAACAGTGCGAGAAGTCGATGTCGCAAGGATAGCTTTATACAATACAGATACGTGTTCAACCCTCTGACTCTTCGTCTAACGATCCCACCCCAAGGCTCTCTGACATGACGAGTATTGCTTGGGTGAGTCATCTATAACGGCGGTTGATGTTCCGGAAAAATCATACTCTTGTAAACTTCGTGGGTAATGAGTCGCTTCGATTTGGGCCTTCAGTACTGGGTCGGAATTGCCTCTGGGGATCAAATCCTGGTTTAGTCGACCGACGAATTTAACCTGGCTAGGCTGTGAAGGTTGTGGTGAGGACTGATATAGAGTCAATAACCTTTGACGATTAGAAAGAGCCGTGGCTGGAGTGGAAAATTCTTCATCCTCACCGGGAGAATAGTCTGGCGACGCTATTCTGGAGATTTGCCCGCTGGAAATAGATTCGTCCAAGAGGTGTTGATTGTCGTCTTTATCCATCAACCTCGAAGCTTTATCTACTTCCATTATTTTTTTTAATCGCCTTCCTCGCGGAAGCACTTTACTCCTTAGTCTAGCATTCGTTCGCGACCTTTTGGTATCTCTGATATGCATTTTCGACAGTAGCGTTTAGGATTTCTACGTTTCGCACCGCGCGTATTTCCTCACGAAGGGATTGGCTAAGCTCGTCCAGGTCCGAAGCGCTTAATTTATATACAGTCGAAAGCTGATCAAATAAGAGGAGAACCACATAGTGACCGTAAAACAACATCTTTAACAAGATGTCTCCAAGTTTTACAATAGGCGGGATTTTCGACTAAGTGATACCTAGAGAATCGGCAAATTCCTTATATACATTCCGAAGCCTTCCTCGATTCTTCTTCCCCTAACGCTCTATTTCTTCTTTCTGAAATATGTGGTATTTCTCGGTAATATATATTGTAGCTAAGAAGCTCTCTAGGAAGGCCGCAATTCGGTCAGAGTCATGTCGCTTTCTTCGTGTCGCGTCGCTGGCGGCGCGAGCTGATGGATAGTCTGTAACACGTTGAGAAAGGAGCTCGTTTATATTGATCTTTTTAAAGTACATTTTGGCGATTCCGGGCGTTATCCTAGATATTCCGTAATGCTCTCTCAAGTCGAGAACGATAGGGACGGGAGTTGCTGACCTTCGAGCTGGTCTTACTCGTCGTCGAGAGGGACTTCTCTGGTGTAATATGTACAATGTTGTCGGGCTGGGGGGAGCCTCGTGGCAGTGGGAGGTCGTCGTGTCCCGCCTCTTCTCGTTGTTTAGGCCGCACTTCGAGGGTAGTGCACAGCCGGGTCAGGTGCTCCTAGGTTTCAATCACTAAGCTGCTGTTGAGGGCTAATTCCTCTTGAGTAACACGCTTTATCCGGTCATATACATTCCTCAGATCCATCATCTACTTGATGGAAAGGTAGAGAGAGGGAAGGTTGAAGCTGAGGGTGGAGACGTTAGTAGGTCTAAATATAGGCGGTCTAATTAGGAAAAACATTGTGATATCCGTGCATATCACTATGTTTTTCCTAATTGGACCGCCAAAAGGTCAGCCACACCTCACTAGGCCGTGTCGGAACGTCTAAGTCCCTGAACCCGACACCAAATTATTAACTAGTGCGGCAGTCAAAGCGGAGTCGATCTGTAGCTAGTTCGCTTCTTATTAGCACACCATTCTATTACTATCTTAGGTTGATTTGGTACCCTCACGTCCAGCCTAGATATTGCGGTCCTTCACGTCTCCTATTTTATGCCTTAGGGGGATATAAGTATGTAGGCCTTCACGGCTGTCGTCTTTTATTGCCCCGTCTCTATGCTCACCGGTTTCGGCGCTTCCTATTGCGTTGTCTTCTCTCATCATTTGCTGTTCTATGGAGACAATGCACCCCCCTCCCTTGTCCGGGGATAACGGGACACGGCCCCCACCTCCATCCTCACTCCGTCCTGAGAGTCTGGGGAGTCTACGAGCGGACTACGATTCCCCACTGCATGTGAAAGTCACGATTCAACTTTTCGAGCGGAATGGAGTGATTCCTGGGGGGGAGGTGCCCTCTGAAGGACATTTGTGGCTTCTTCCATCCTTGTTTGAGTATGACGATTCTTCTACACATGAAACTCGACTAACTGGTGTAGGCGGGCGACTACAGAGGTCATTAAGACTTTGTACACCCTCGTACGTCTGTCTCGACGCGATTGCCGGAAACCTCATTCGGGTGCCTAGCATCACACCATTGAGCGATAGGTCATGGGAAATCCTTGTCACGGCCGTGAGCACAGACAAGACCAGATCTGACCAGATCTGACTAGATCTGTCCCGACTCGACGACACGTCCCATACCGGTCAACACCGCGCCAAACAAAGACGAACCGTAACGGGCCGACGTTGTCCCGGACGAGGTACGGGACAAGCGTATATCTCTGATTGGTCATATAGGAAGAACGGCTTAGTATACTAGGGCCTTAGTAGGGGTAGCCACTATATAAAAGTATAGCGCCGCACCCTTTCCTTCCTTCCTTCCTTTCTTCTTTCCCTTAGTTTAGTCTCTCGTTACATAGGAATACACATCCTTGGAGTCTTCTCCATCTCATATGTGCCCCGCCGTCATAATCCTCGTCCGGATCACTTACTTCCCTACCGCTTAAGCTCTCTTCGATACGCAATCACTTTATTCTGGAGTCAGAATACGACCCACTTGGACCTGTCCAGGAGCTCTACGCCCTTCGTTTTGTGGAGCGGGTATTCGGCATTATGTAAGAGTCCTGGGCCATTGCAAAAATATACTATAGTCACCTCTTGAAACGTCACAATCGAAGGATTTGGGCTCTACTGAGCGGGGTGGGTGCCATGGAAAGGCTAATGTTGGATTTGGAGACTAAGGAATGGAAAGACGTGGACATTGGAGGAACGTTGGAGCTCATCCGGACTTGCTTGTACGACTTCCAGAGCGCCCAACCCCCACGACACTTGTTCGGGGTTGGTGACATCCAGGTCACGTCCCTGGTGACACTCGCAACCCGGCCGTCGATGGTGGTTGATGAGGCCTGCTGGTGACTTATTCGCCATTCCTCGTCCCGTCTTCAGACCCCTGGTCCCCTGTCGCATTTGCACTTCGGACCTTGATGGTCGACGACCTGTAGCTCCGGGAGGATATATCCCGCCCGTACGGAGTGGGCTCGTCGATTTTCGAGGTAAACTATATCATCCACGCAGAAGGGCATGATCATCGGACACTCCAACGTCAATCTCCCCTTACCTTTCATCACGGGTTCTCTCCTTTCAAATATTCCGGCTGGGCCTACATTTGGCCTACTCAATCTATCACTTAAATTTCGTATCAAGCTCGGATTCGATCACGAGAAACAAAACACCGATAAGGCGATCTGGCAGTATCAAAGGGGCCGTAGCCCTAGGTATATTCGTGATTCTTTATGTTGGTATGATCTATGTATTATTATCTCTAGCGTGAGTATCTATATACGAGATTCGAATTCTACTAACGTAAAAGCTAAGGTATCTTACTGTCTTTGAAGTCCTATTCTTTGCCACGGACGAAAGGGAACGTTATTATGAGTTTCTATAGGGATTGAAGGATATATTCTTAGCCCCAGTCTTGTACTTTTTCCTAACTCTGATCTCGATCATTATTTGTATTACTCTCATGGGATAAGAGACCGATTCCTCCGTCTCCTCAATTCCCCACAGCGGGTAGGAAGAAGAAGGGGAATCGGCGACTAGACCTCG